GAAATGAATAAATTCCTAGAAACATATAACCTATTGAAACTGAAATAGGAACAAACAGAAAATTTGAACAGACTGATTACCAGTAAGAATATTGAATCAGTAATCAAAAAACTCCCAACAAACAAAAGTCCAGGACCAGTTGGCTTCACAGGCAAATTCTACCAAACATTTAAAGAAGAGTTAATACCTATTCTCGAACTATTCCAAAAAGTCAAAGGAAAACTTCTAAATTCATTCTATGAGGTCAGTATCATCCTGACACCCAAACCAGATAAAGATATCACAAGAAAAAATAACTACAGGACAATATCTCTGATGAACATAGATGCAAAAATCCTCAACAAAATACTAGCAAACTGAATCCAACAATACATTTACAAAAAAAAAAAAAGTCATTCACCATGATCAAGTGGGATTTATTTCCAGATTGCAAGAGTAGTTTAATATTCCCAAATCAATCAACATAATACATCATCGCAGTAAGAAAAAGGATAAAAACCACAAGATCATTTCAATAGACACAGAAAAAGATTTGACAAAGTACAGCATCCATTTGTGATACATGCCTTCAATAAAGTAAGTTTAGAGGGAACATACCTCAACACAATAAAGGCCATCTGTGGAAACCCCACAACAAATATCATATTCAGTGGGGGCAAACTGAGAGCTCTGCCCCTAAGGTTAGGAAGGAACAAGACAGGGGCGCCTGGGTGGCTTAGTCGGTTAAGCGTCCGACTTTCGCTTGGGTCATGATCTCGCCGTTCGTGGGTTCGAGCCCCGCGTCGGGCTCTGTGCTGACTGCCAGCTCAGAGCCTGGAGCCTGTTTCAGTCTGTGACTCCCTCTCTCTCTGACCCTCCCCTGCTCACGCCGTCTCTCTCTCTCTCCTAGAAATAAATAAAACATTAAAAAAATAAAAAAAAAAAGGAAGGAACAAGACAAGGATGTCCGCTGTCACCACTTGTATTCAACATAGTGCTGGAAATCCTAGCCACAGCAATCAGACAAGAAAAAGAAATAAAAGACATTCAAATTGGTAAGGAAGAAGGAAAACTGCCTCTATTTGCAGATGACATGATACTCTATATACAGAAAATCTAAAAGACTCCACCAAAAAACTACTAGAACCGATAAGTGACTTCAGTAAACTTTCAGGATACTAAATCAGTGGGCAGAAATCTGTTGAATTTCTATACACTAATAATGAAGCAGCAGAAAGAGAGATTAAGAAAACAGTCCCATTTACAATTGCACCAAAAATAATAAGATCCCTAGAAATAAACTTACTGAAGGGGTGAAAGACTTATACTCTGAAAGTATAAAATATTGATAAAAGATACTGAAGATGAGACAAAGAAATGGAAAGACATTCCACGCTCATGGATTGGAGCAAAAAGTATTGTTAAAATGTCTATACTACCTGAGGCACCTGGGTGGCTCAGTCAGTTGAGTGTCCAGCTCTTGGTTTCAGCTCAGGTCATGATCTCATGCTTTGTGAGTTTAAGCCCCACATCAGGCTCTGTGCTGGCAGGGTGGAGACTGCTTGGAATTCTCTCTCTGCCCTTCCCAGCTGACACACACACACACACACACACACACACACTCTCTCTCTCTCTCTCTCTCTCTCTCTCTCTAAATAAATAAATAAATACAAACTTTTAAAAAATGTTTATACTACCCAAAGCAGTCTACAGATTAAATGCAATCTCTATCAAAATACCAACAGCATTTTTCACAGAAATATAACAAACAATCCTAAAATTTACATGGAACTACAAAACACCCCGATAGACAAAGTCATTTTGAAAAAGAAAAGTTGAAGCTTTCACATATCTGCACTTCAAGTTATATTACAAAACTGTAGTAATCCAAACAGTATAGTACTGGCACAAAAACAGACATACAGACCAATGGAACAGAATAGAAAACCCAATTATATGGTCACTTAATCTTTAACAAAGCAGGATAAGCAGGACAGAATATCCAATGGGAAAAATACAATCTCTTCAACAAATGGTGTTGGGAAAACTGGTCAGATACATGCAAAAGAATAACACTGGACCACTTTCCCACATCATAAACAAAAAGTAAACTCAAAATGGATTAAAGGCCTAAATGGGAGTCCTGAAGCCATAAAAATCCTGGAAGAGAGTACAGGCAGTATGGTCTCTGACATTGGCCATAGCAACATTTTTCTAGATATGTCTCTTGAAACAAGGGAAATAAAAGTAAAAATAAACTATTGGAACTACATCAAAACAAAAACTTCTACACAGTGAAGGAAACAATCAACAAAACTGAAAGGCAACTTACTGAATGGAAGAAGATAGTTGCAAATTGCATATCCCATAAAGGATTAGTACCTAAAATACATAAAGAACTTACACAAAACAGCACCAAAAACATCCAAGTAATCCAATTTAAACATGGGAAGAAGACATGAACAGACATTTCTCCGAAGACATATAGATTGTCAACAGACACATAAAAATATGCTCAACATTACCCATCATCCGGGAAATACAAAGTGAAACCACAGTGAGGTATCACCTCACACCTGTCAGGATAGCTAAACTCAAAAAGACAAGAAACAGCAAATGTTGGTGAGGATGTGGAGAAAAAGGAACCCTCTTGCACTATTGGTAGGAATGCAAACAGGTAACAGCCACTGTGGAAAATGGCATGAAGATTCCTCAAGAAGTTAAAAATAGAACTACCCCACAATCCAGTAATTGCACTAGTGAGTATTTACCCACAGAATACAAAAACACTAACTGAAAGGGATACATGCGGGACACCTGCGTGGCTCAGTCAGTTGGGCATCTGACTTCGGCTTGGGTCAAAATCTTATGGTTCTTGAGTTCAAGCCCCACATTGGGCTCTCTGCTGTCAGTGCAGAGTCTACCTCCCATCCTCTGTCCTCCCCCACTTGCATACTTGCTCTCCCAAAAATAAACATGAAACAAAAGGGGATACATGCACCTCTATGTTTATAGCAGCATTATTTACAATAGCCAAATTATAAAAGTGGCCCATGCATCCATTGATAGATAAATGGACAAGGAAGTCATGTATGTGTGTGTACATGGAATATTATTTAGCCCTAAGGAGAATGAAATCTCAACATTTGCAATGACATGGATAGAGCTAGAGTATAATGCTAAGTGAAATAAGTGAGAGAAAGAAGAATACCAGATGATTTCACTCATATAGAATTTAAGAAACAAATGAGCAAAGGAAGAGACAAACCAAAACACAGACTCTTAACTATGATTATAGAGAACAAACTGATGGTTACCAGGGGTAGGTGGGTGGAGGATCGAGTGAAATAGGTGATGGGTATTAAGGAGTCTGAAAAGCGCTGGGTGATGTATGAAATTATTGAATTACTATATTGTACACCTGAAACTAATAATACTGTATGTTAACTACATTGGAATTAAAGAATAAATAAATAAATAAACTTTGCATTTGAATAGATGAAAAAACTCATCTGTTTCCATGGCTTCAATATCCGCTTTAAGCTAAAGATTTCCAAATCCCTAAGGCTACCTCTCTCTCCCCTAAATTCTATACAGGTCCATATATATGATGAATCATTTAGCACCCATGATGTGTTTCCAGCCGATGTGGATTCTATTTCTAGATTCCATCCAATTCTCTAATCCCCATTTACCACCATGATTCAATCTCCTTTACTAACAGCTTCCCCCTGGCCTCTACTTGCATCTTCGCTCATTAGTCTATTCTCTATATTGGGGCTAGAACTATCTCTTTAAAAAGTAAATCTTCATGTGTTACTTTCCTGCTCAACCTTCAAGGTTTCCCTTTGCGATTATAAGAAAATCTATCATCTTTGACACTGTTTACCAGGCCCTTGTGGGTAGGCCCCGTGGGTCTGCCTGACCCACATTCTTTTAGTTCTCAGAATGCTAGAATCTCGGTGCCTCTGAATGTGCTGAGTACCCTTGGATAAGAATATTCAGACTTCATATTGCTTCTTCCAGGTCACTAGTTTTCCTTGACGACCCACACTCCCTGCCCCAGATTACTTTGTTCTTCACATCTCCTAGCACTCGGAAGTCTGCACCCAGACAATTGACTGTACAAAGTATCTATCTACTCTATCAGACTAAGATTAGAAAGAAACTACATACACCTTGTTCATCACTTAATTTCTCAGTCCCTACCACAGCGCTGGCTCTCAATAAATGTCTGTTGAAACAATGATTACACTCATCCTTGCATATAGCCAGGTATTTTGAGTCTTTCCCTAATCCCCACTCTTATTTTCTTCCGAGAGATTAAAGTAAATCTCTGTTACCCACCAAAAGCATTTTTTTTTTTTCTGGATGAATGAATGAATGACCCAGCGAAGAGAAGCTGATTGTAGGTCACTGGCTTCTTTAAGCGCAGGGGTTCGGAGTGGAGAGCTGTAGTAACAGCATCATGTGTAAATAATCCGAGCAGATCCAGGTCCCAAGCCTAGCAAGCACGTGCCGCCAGCGGAGCGCGGAGAGGGCGGGCACCCGGGAGGAAGGTCCCAGGCGGCCGGAACGTGCTCGCGCCCGTGGCCGCCGCCCGCGCCGCGGCCGCCCGGGTCTCGGAGCGAGCGCACGTGTGCCGGCCAGACCCAGCAGAGGCAGTGCCCGGGCAATCGTGAGGAAATGGAGGGCGAGGCGCTGTTTAGGGGTAGGGATCAGTGTGGGTCGAGTTTCGCCCGGAGAGGGGAAATCGGGGAAGAAGATCTGAGGGCCGGAGAGGAGAGAAGGAAGATCAAGAGCTAGATAAGGCGGGCCGACCTAGCGCTTGGGAGGAGAGGGGGCGGGGCGGGAGGAGCCGCGGAATAAAAGCGCACCGGGGACGAGTTGCGAGTTTACTCCGACGTCCGGGTCGGAAGCGCTCACACCTGGAGTCCTGCGAGGATGGGTGGAAGGGCAGGGTTTAGGATTTAGGATTTAGGATCCCCGCCCCGGGTACGGCCTGGCCCAGAACTGGCTCAACCCCAGCACAGCCGGACTTCCTCCTCCCAGCGTTCGCGGCCTCACTCTCGCCGAGCGCCAAATCCGCCACCAGCGGGGCGGGTGGAGGCGTGGCCTCTTCCCTCCGGGGTCGGCGCTTGGTCGGCGTCCGCGTCAGCTTAAGCCCAGCGCGGTGACGCAGTACGTCGACGTAAGTGACGCGCAGGCCCGGGCCGCTCCTCCTTCACTGAGTGAGTGCCGGCCCGGTCCGGGCGGGGGAGAAGAGGGAGGGCGGGGGAGGGAGAGGCGACCCGGGGAGTCGTTGTGGGCCGCGGGCCGGACCGGGTCCCGGGGCGGCAGGAGCCAGGGCCGGGCAGAGGGCTTGGCGGGCCGTTAGGACGCCGCCACGGCTGTCGGGTCCCTTCCCCTGCCGGACTTGCGCGCCCCGGCGCCCGGAGCCTCCGGCGCTCTGCCCACCCGCTTCAGCTCGCGTCTCCCGACTCCAATTAGGTCAGGCTCGGAGTCCCGCGGCCGTGGCTCCGGCCCCCAACGCGCGGCGGCCACCCGGCTCGCCTTTCTTTCTTTCCTCGCCTTCCTCTCCTCTTGCCTCCCCCTCCCCCCCCTTCTTTTCACGTAGCTGGGGTTTTGTTTTTTGTTGTTTTATGCTTTAGGGGTTTTGTGCCTCGGCCCGAGCTCATGGGTGTACGTTATCATGCTCCTCTTTTGTAGAGCAATCCGACGGCCATGGAGGCCGAAGAGACGATGGAATGCCTTCAGGAGTTCCCGGAACATCATAAAATGATCCTGGACCGATTGAATGAACAGCGAGAACAGGATCGGTTTACTGACATCACCCTGATTGTCGACGGTGGGTAGGGTGGTGGGCAGAGCAGTGAATTTGTGGCTACCGTTCTTATCTCCCCTTCCCCCACCCGCCTTTTATACCCACCCTCTGTGGACTGTGCCTATGGAGTGTGCGCTGGGACGCGGGGGGACTTGTCGCTGTCCACTCACAGACCGTATTGCAAAAGGCTAGTTGGCTGGTCATGCTTTCAACATAATCATCACATCTTAACTTCTTGCAGCCTTTTGAAGTTTTCCTGTTGCACACATTAGTGCAAGATGATGGCGTGGAGGTAGAGAGGATGTCTCTAAATGTTTGGCTAATAGCTTTCTGTTCGTATACTGCTTGGAGGAGCCTTTCACAACAATCATTTGAGAAGTGATGATTCTTCCTGCGTTCCCAGATGATCTTGGAGGGAGAATGTGAGAGATTCCTTTGCAGCATTGGTACCCTCTTTGGGAAGCCTCCAAATCAAATGGGGTCTTTACCAGTATTCCGTGCTTGGTAAAATGATCTGGATTTGTTAAGATTCCAGTTGTCATTATAATGGAGGCAAATATAGCTTGGGTCTCTTTTTTTTTTTAGTGAAAAGAGACTTCCCAAGGCAAGCGATTCTTTATTATAGACCTGCTTCTAAATATTAGGCATATTAACATTTTTCCATAGCAAATACATCCAGCATTATGTTTGTTCTGTGGCTTTTTCTTCTCTTTCCAAACGATATATAACTTTCTGGGTTGTTTATATTTTGCAGTTTCAACTAAATCCAATATACCTTTCACTCTTTAATAAGAAGCTTCTTACCTCTTTTAGTTTTGTAAACTAGCTTTTATAAAGTTGACTTCATAAGGTCTTTGAGATAAAGATTTGGGTTGTCTAATTGAAACTGGAATTTGTTAAGATAGCTACTTAGAATATTCTGACTTTAGTTCAGTAATTTGTATAGTCTTAGTGATTGTATTAGAAGAAAGATCTACTTTATATAATTTCCTACTTTGTTTTATGATTTTACTTTTGATTTTTGAATACATGTGATACTTTTTTTTCTTCTTTTCCTTTTCTTTTCTTTTCTTTTTTTTTTTTTTAAATCTAGGACACCATTTTAAGGCCCACAAAGCTGTTTTGGCTGCTTGCAGTAAGTTCTTCTACAAATTCTTTCAGGAGTTTACTCAGGAACCTTTGGTGGAGATAGAAGGTAAATGCTTGTTTTTTTAAAATTTTATTTATTTATTTTGAGAGAGAGTGTGCCCATGCGTGCGTACCCATGCATGTGTGCACATGCAAGCAGGGGAGGGAGAGGCAGAGAAAGGGGAGGGTGAGAATCCCAGTCAGGCTCCTTGCTGCAACACAAGCCCAACACAGGGGACAGGGGACAAGGGACGTGGTGCTTGGGGGTAGATCTCGCAAACCCATGAGGTTATGACCTGAAGACGCTTAACCAACTTGAGCTACCCAGGCACCCTGGTAAATGCTTGTTTTAGATACAATATTTAGCAAGCGTTATAATTGATGAAGTGTACTGTAGGAAATAGGCATCAGTGGTTCCTCTTAGGTGACTGGATAAATTGTTCTTTTGACACTTGAGAATTCTTACTTTCAGTAAAGTGCTTGGTAAAATGATCTGCCAGGGAAAACACTTACATTAGATGGTAGATGTTGATCTCTTAAAGGAGTCTTTTCCACTTCTAAAACCAGTGGTCACTCTTTTGAAAACATGTATTAGAAGTGATTCCCATCTATGTTTCAGACTGGTAGGGATGCTGCAGGGGATGCAGGGATGCAGTGGAGGCTTCTTAACCAGCAGAGGTGCATATGCTATGCACAAAATGAAGTGTGCTGCCATAATAAGGAAAAGGCTAGGAAAGATGAACTGAAGTAGTATTCAGAAGTTCTACTGGATATAGGGTCTGGGATAGAAGGACTCATTCAATAGATACTGCCTTGGAGTAGAAAGTGATTTTTGTACTTGCTGGTAATAGTTTCCCAAGTGGTAGCTATAGTGCTCTTTAGTTTATGTGCATTTTCTGAGGTTTACAGCAATCCACTGAAGTCAGCGGTATTATTTCCAATTTACACATCAGGGAACAGGCCCTAAATGGTTACTTGCTCAATGTTGCCCAGCTAGTAAGGGATTCACTTTGTGTATTACCATGCTTTCATCTTTTGCTACTACATTACTTACCACTCCCCACCATCCAAAACTGTAGAAAATACTTGTCTACGTAAATACAGAATTTCAGCTCTTTTGGTGTTCTTGAGTTTTGGTTTTGTGTCTTCACTGTGTGTATATATATTCTTTGTTACGAATGAGTTGCCTGGAAACACTCTTCCCTTGGGAAAATTTGGTGCCCTGGGGAGTAAAAGAAAATGTGAAAAGTTAAGCATTTTCCTCTTGGTGGGGTGAGGGTGGGGGTTTACATTCCAGTTTAGCTTTCTGGCTGATGTATCCATAGATAATCTTTTCATTATCTGTGATGGACAGCCACAGGCATAATAGAAATCCACGAAGCTTACTAGAGTGAGAATCTAGCTGCCTACACAGTGTTAATTTCTATTACAGGGCAAGATTTTATTCATTTATTTACCTCAGCTACTGTGTGACGCCAGGCAGGTTACTTTACTTGAGTTGCATATTTGTCTCCTCATCTGAAAATTCTTCAATTCTTTATAGGCTTGTAATGATTGGTTGAAGTAACATGTGCAGAGTGCTGAGCATAGTTTTGGTGCATTGTCAAAGCTTAATAAATTGGGGCTATTTGTCAGATTGAATGCTTGTTAAGGGTTTATGTACTGTGCCTGATCCAGGAAATGAAGAATTGATGAATAAGACAGACTGTAAAGAATTTGCAAATTTAATCACACAGCAGCAACAGATACAGAAAGGAGAGCAAAAAGTGTTGCAGAGACTTATTGTGGAATGGTGTCTCTGCGGAGTCTACCTTGAAGAGATAAGACAGATTTCAAAGAAGAGTCGACTTCTGCTTTTTAAGCAGATTAAGTGGCCCCTGTCTAGACTATACATTGCTTTTGGAGCAAGAAGTATACCTGGGGAAGTAGGGTCTTCTTTTCTGGAGACCAATCACCTTGAGATTGTCTCTTGTACTTTTTAGTACCTCTGACCTGCTACCTTCATTATAGTATAGCACATACAAGCCTTCAGTACTTAATATGACAGATGAGAAAATCTAAGAACGATACCTGTTTTTGTTATTTGCCAGGTTCAGGATTAAAGAATCAGTTTGGCTCTGTGTTTTTGTTTTTCTTTTGGTGTTTTCTTTTAATTAAAAAATTGTTTTAATGTTTTTTTACTCATTTTTGAAAGTGCACACACACAGGTGCATGTGAGCAGGAGAGGGGCAGAGAGAAAAGGAGAGAATCCCAAGCAGGCTCCGTACTTGTCAGTGAGGAGCCTGAAGCAGGGGTGAAACTTACGGGCTGCAAGATCACAAGCTGAAATCAAGATTTGGACACTTAACTGACTGAGCCACCAAGGCACCCCTTGGCTCAGTGTTTTCTTAAGCCCTTAACTTCGAGATCACTGTACAATCTGTCTAGGTCACCTGGCTATAAAGAAAGCCCTAGGCATGTAATTAGAAAACCTGCCTTGTTCTGGCTCTCCTGTTTTGGCAGTTGTATAACCTTGGACATGGTGTCTTCCTTTTCTTTTTCTAATATGTGAGATATGTCAAGTATGATTTTACCATGTCATGGACATTTTGATGTTATGACATTCTGTGCTGTTAAAATCCTCTGGAGAATGATGCTTTTGTTGTTGTTTTGATTTTTTTTTTTTTTTTTTTTTTTTTTTTAGCAGGCAGTCAACCTGGTATAGGCCCAGTCTGGGCTTATTTGGGCTGTGGATGCAATTCCAATTTGTTTTTCAAAACCCTTGCTGTGCTGCTCGGGCGCCAGGTGTGCCGACCTGGGTCCACATCATCATGCAGTGCTCAGGCCCTTGCCGAACTGCCTCATGTCAGCTCCACGCGGCGCTCGGGGGCTAGTGCTAGGCTGCACTCACTCCCAGGGACCTTTTTCTAGCTCCCTCTTCTGACTTCTGAACTTTAGCTCCCAGGTGCAACTTTTCCTGATCCTCTGGCTAGAAAACTAGGATTTTTAGCTTCCCTGTGTGGACATAAACTTCCCACAGTGGGATCCATTTCCTAGACTAAGTGGCGAGAGAGAAAAAATAACCAGTCTCTCCATGCTCTTGGAGATCATTCCTAGATTTCTTTCAGAAAGAAGAGCCTAAGAATCAGTGCCTTCTTGGTGGCCACCAGCCACAGCTGTGCAGCATAAGAACTGAGACTTGCCTTGAGGCAGGGGAGAGGAATAAAAACCAAGTATTTCCTCTCCCCCTCCCCCCACACACATACTCTCCATTCCCTTTCTTGGTTCTCTAGCCAGACTTTTCTTCTGTACCTGCTACATAGTTACAGGATTTAGGCTGTCTTCAAGTGTAAGCCGGGATATGTGAGAGGAAAACTAAAAACCAGGAAACTCACTGCTGCTCTTTTGAGTTTTGATTTCTGTCCCCAGCCTGCTTACTTCTGTTCATCTTTTCTGAGTCCTTATCTATTTGCTTTATGTATTCTGCCCAGGATTTTTAATTGAAATCAGTGGACAAGATAGGGTGGAGTGTGCTTTCTCCATCTTAGCTACAATTTTAACCTTCATCTGTAAAATATGAATAATGACCTCACTCTGTAGATCTAGAATGCTGTCCTGCCCTGCTTTGCTTCTTTCTAAGTGGAGGAAAAAGAAGATTTAGATTAAGGTGTTCATATTGACGGGTTCCTTAGATACTCAGAAAAATTATATTCTGCTGCACACTTCTGTTATGAAACGAGCAAGGGATTGATGAAAAGGTAGACAGATTTGGAAGTTACCAAACTAGTCCTGATAAAGAATAAAGTGTTTTCGCAACTCTGCATCATCTGTCACCACATCACCTACCTGGGCAGGTGTTAACAGTTTGGTCCATGTTAGCTATAGGTCAGTAGTTTATTCCTAGGACTAGTGCTGGACTGGTGACTTAAGCACCTAAGGTGCTTGAAGAAAAAAAAAAAGTATCCCAGTTTTGAGTCTAGGGATCAGAGACCCATGCTTTTGTTAAGTCTGCAATGATTCTAATTAACCGAACTTGGGAACTAAGTCTGTAATTCCTTATTCAAATCCTTGAAGGCCAGATGATTCCTGAAATTATAAATTTTCTAAAGATAATGCAGTCTGTGTATTACATTATAATCCCAGTGGGGTCTAGGGTGACATCCTGTAACCAAATAATAGTTCAGAGTAGCACGTAATATTTACTCTAAGTGGGATGAGGACTATACATAGCCTAATGTCTATTCAGAACAAATATTGCTGTCAAATTAACGGGAAAACTTCTGGTCTTATGAGATTTGGGGGACTTTGGAATTGTGAATAAGAGATTGTGGGCCTGTAATGAGTTAAGCTGTAGGTATTCAAACTCTTCCAAGCAGGAGTGTTTCCTGCCATCATCTTATTTAAAAATCTTTATGTTGGACTTAGGAGTTGAGGCATCTGGGTTTGATTCTAGTTTCATCTCTTCAGTAACTTGCCAAAGTCACAGTTACTGACTTTTCTGTGCCTCAGTTTTCCTATCTGTGAAATGGAGATTATTATAGTAAGTTCTCCATAGGATTGATATGAGGATAGAGTTAATACTTATGATGTGTTTAGAGTCATGCCTGGTATTTGTAGTATTATATGTCATTCCATTTCAAGAAAAATACACATTAAAAAAATTTTTTAGTGTGTATTTTTCAAAGAGAGAGAGCATGAATAGGGGAGGGATTGAGAGAGGGGTGACACAGAATCCAAAGCAGGCTCCAGGCTCTGACTGTCAGCACAGAGCCCAACACAGGACTGAACCCCCGAACCACAAGATCATGACATGAGCCAAAGTCGGATGTTTAACTGACAAAGCCACCCAGGCACCCCTACATATTGTTTTTTCCAAACGAGTGGGTTGGTTTTTTTTTTGTTTTTTTTTTAAGTTTGTTTATTTTGAGAGAGAGCAGGGAAGGGGCAGAGAGAGGGACAGACAAAATCCTAGGCAGACTCTAAGCTGTCAGTGTAGAGCCCAGTGTGGCACTCAAACCCGCAAACTGAGATCATGACCTGAGCTGAGATCAAGAGTCAGACACTTTAATGACTGAGCCACCCAAGCGCCCCAACAAAGGACTTTTATTAATAAACTTTTAAACATTTGATCAAAACTCCTTAAATTTAGTTATCTGTACCTCAGGCTACTTTCATATAATAACTTTCATATGGCAAAAAGACAACCAGGAAAACAAAGATTTAGGGGAGAACCAAATAAAGGTAACTTTCAAAGAATCTAGTTATTTTTACTTTGCTTATTCAGGTGTATAAAATGCATAGGAAGAACATAAAAGTATTTTTGAATTTGCAGTTATGCAAATTATGTGCATTTGGGACCTGGGCATTTCTTAGTTTAAAAATTCTATGTTAAAAGTAGTTTTTTCTTGGAGTCCCTGGCTGGCCCATTTGGTGGAGCATGTAGCTCTTGATCTTGGGGTTATATTTGAGCCCCACTTTGAGTGTAGAGATTACTTAACATCCTTGAAAATAAAAGTGGTTTTCTATTTGTTTCTTTCAATACATTTTTGTAGCCTTGCATCAGCAGACTGAAACAATAATATATAGCACTAAAGAGCAGAAAGAAATAGAGTATCCTTTTGGGCCAAAATTTAAACATAAAACTTATAAAGAAAAGTTGGAATCATTGAAATTTAATTTTGAAAGTAACTTTAGCCCTTACTCATTCCTACTTTGTGTGTCTGCATTTTAGGGATCATTGTTTAGGTACTGTGAGGTGAGTGTAGAGACAAAAATCATTTCCCTCATGTAACTTAGAGTCCGGGGATGCCCATGGGTTTTAATTATCAGAACAGGTTCAGCCTGGGGGAAGTACTAGAAAGTTTCATTAAGGGTGCGGCATTAGAATTGGGCCTTCAAGGACAGTAGGACTTAGATAGATATAAAGTGATTAAGCATTCATTAAGGAGGGTTAAGTGTTAAGGCAAGGAAGCTTTTAGAAGTGAAGCCTTTGTTTAAGGTTCAGTATATAGTATGGGATTGATGCAGTTTAAAATTTGGAAGGGAAAATAGTGGAAATAGAAAAATAATGTGAAGTACCTTGAAATAAAGGCAAAGTGGTATGCAGCTTTATTTGCTGAGCTGTGGAAAGCCTTTGAAGATTTGGAGCTGAGTTGATACAGTGATCTCTGGCAAGGAACATAGCATGTCTGACATGTAATAGTTAGCCAATTTATATATTCAAGTGATAGATTTTACTGTTCATAAGAATGTTAGGAAATCTTTGGGAAAGATCTTAAAGCAGTTTGGTAGTTAGTGCTAGAACTTGGCTACAGGATTACTGTACTGTTAATGAGAATTCCACCAGAAAGTAATTTTCCAAAATTCAGATACTAATCAGGTTTTAACATTGAGCTTTTTTTTCCTTTACTAAATGTTAGAAGATTTGAATCAGTGGGCAAACATGCTAATGCACATCTTTTTTTTTTCTTTTTTTACAGGTGTTAGTAAAATGGCCTTCCGTCATTTAATTGAGTTCACATATACAGCAAAATTAATGATACAAGGAGAAGAAGAAGCCAATGATGTATGGAAAGCAGCAGAGTTTCTACAAATGCTAGAAGCTATCAAAGCCCTTGAAGTCAGGTAATTACTTATTTTCATAGTGATGCACAGATGGTTCTCTTCAGTCATGTACGCCCTGTTAGTCAAGAATTTATTGTACGTGTCATGCCATAAAGGACTGACATTTTGAAATTAAGAATATTTAAGGATCTATAAAATTCTGGATAGTGATCTTTCTCTCACACTTGATTTCTTGTCCTTTTGTAAAAACTTCTAAGTTTAATTAAAGTAACATCTTTTGTATCTAATAAAGTCAAGAGGACTCAGCAGCTTTTAAAGAGTTGTTTTGTTAGGTTTGAGTTGTTAACTGCACCAAGCTTTATTTAAAAAGAATTTGACTTAGAAAAATTAACACAGTCCTGTTTAAGAATAAGTGAGGAAATGGATGAAGATAAATAGGCCACATGGGGCAACAATCAGTGAAGTTAGAAATTTGGTAGTCATTATGAATGCCGTTCAGGTCTATATACTTGCTAGGTGCGCTAAATCTAGCTCTGAATTCTGAAGTACCTAATGCATAGAGAAAGGAAAGAAAAATCTTAAGTTACATTATTCATGGTTACGAGAACAAATCAGTTGTTTCGGAGCCATTCCTGGTATTAAGACACATAATTTCTCATAGAAAGTGTTAAGAAAACATTAAATGACATAACAAAGACTTCAACATCTTGCATAATGAACAGTGGCAGTATAACATAGTGACTGAGAACAGGGTGCCTGGGTGGCTCAGACAGTTATCTGAGCATCTGACTCTTTTTTTTTTTTTTTTTACAAATAGTTTATTGTCAAATAACTCTTTTAGTTGAGAGCGCTGCTATGAACATTGGGGTACATGTGCTCCTATGCCTCAGCATTTCTGTATCCCTTGGGTAAATTCCTAGCAGTGCTATTGCTGGGTCATAAGGGAATTCTATTGTTAGTTTCCTGAGGAACCTCCACACTGTTTTCCAGAGGGGCTGTACCAGTTTCCATTCCCACCAACAGTGTAGGAGGGTGCCAGTTTCTCCACATCCTCGCCAGCATCTAGAGTCCTCTGATTTGCTCATTTTAGCCACTCTGACTGGCATGAGGTGGTATCTCAGTGTGGTTTTGATTTGTATTTCCCTGATGAGGAGGGATGCTGAGCATCGTTTCATGTGTCTGTTGGCCATCTGGATGTCCTCTTTGGAGAAGTGTCTGTTCATATCTTCTGCCCATTTCTTCACTGGGTTGTTTGTTTTTCGGGTGTGGAGTTTGGTGAGTTCCTTATAGATTTTGGATATTAACCCTTTATCTGATATGTCATTTGCAACTATCTTTTCCCATTCCGTCGGTTGCCTATTAGTTTTGTGGGTTGTTTCCTTTGCTGTGCAGGCATCCGACTCTTGATACTGGGTCAGGTAATGATCTCACATTTGTGAGATCAAACTCCTCTTGGGACTCCATGCTGAGCGTGGAACCTGCTTGGGATTCTCTCTCTCCCTCTCTCTGCCCCATCCCTGCTCACACCCATATATACACACACTCTGTTTTTAAAATTAAAAAAATATATATATATACGTATATATATATGAAAAATTTAGTGACTAAGAGCTCTGGAGTCAAGCTGCCTAGGTAATAGCCTAGTTCTCTACCACATAATGAAGTTACCCAACCTGTCAACACCTCAGTTTCTTCATCTGTCAAAAGGGGGTAATAATCTTACTTTCAACACAGGATTATTTATGGGCGTTAAATGAATTAATGCATGTAAAGTGCTCAGCGTGGTGACTGGTATATAGTACTCTATTTGTGACCTGGTATTATTATTAATATCTCCTGGCTGTGTTTCTTATGATGTTATCGGCATAACACTAAAGTGCAGTTTGGTAAAATCCATTTGCACGTGGGGCAAAATAATTTAGTCCAACTCACTGATAAGGTTTAATCAAAAGATACAAATTAGAAAAATTTTAAGAAATAATTGAACTATAATCATCCCTAAGTACCATTTCTCCTAATGAGCTTTTAATTAGTTTGATGACAGTTCAAGACCAAACCAAGAGCTTGGTATGTATGTATTCTCTAATGCCTAGTGCCTGGCACATAGTGTGTGTGTAGTTCCCATTTGTGAATGGATGGATGGGTGCATGCCAATTAAAACCAGATCAACACTCCTGCAGAGAGAGCTGAGACCTGGGTAGCAGAATAGAGGTATGTTGAGGATATGTACCTGATGTCGTACCTTTTCAGAATGGAAGTAGACTAAAGGGAATATAATATGGATAGGGCAACATCAGATGTGTGGTTAAATCCTGGATGAGAACCTTCTGAAAAAAATGTTCTCTATGTGTAGTTCTCCTTGCTGCTCATAGTAGTAAGTTAGTATCCAGCTGTGGGGAAAGTCCTTGGCAGCAGAACAGTGGAACATACTCTGACAGTAGCCTAGGTTGGATTCAGGAGAATTAGGAATTGGGTTTATTGTGTATAGTCACTGTGAGAGGAAGGTAAGAACAACTGGGCACAGTTCTTTTCACAGGCTTATTTAGAAACTTTGGGAAGATTTATTATTGTAAGAGTGGGATCCTTATAGTAATTATAACCATCAGTGAATGCTATGTTTCATTGTCAACATAGTAACGTATTGAATTGTTTCTTGAACCAGTTAGGCATGCAGTATCCTCTGAAGAGTTCTTTACAAACAAAAAGACAGCAGCATTACATATTGGCTGTTACAATAATTCAATTAAGGAATAAAAATTAATTTAGTTGTGGTTAAATGGACTGGGTAAGGTAATTCTATACTGAGGAGATTATCATATAATTGTTTTGCAGATACAGGTGAATTAAGTGATCTTTTCACATTCACATTATGCAAGTATTTTTGGCATATGGTGTCAACTTTTTGAATGACACTGAGGAAAATGACACTAGAGCCTTATTTTGCTTTGCTGGAATTGCATTATTGTGCATTTAAAGCTGTGTATGAGTGGGTTCCTGATTCTTGTTAGGGAGCAGCAGTTGCCTTATAGATTTTTCCTCTCCAGCCTGTTGAAGTATGATTTATGTGTAAAACAATTCACCCAATTAGTATAGAGTTTGAATTTTGGTGTTTGTATACAGTGGTGTAATCACCACCATAATCAAGACACAGGAACGTTTCCATCATTCTAAGTTTCTCATGACTCTCTAGTCAGCCCTAATCCCTGGCCTCAGTTATCCACTGATTTGATTTTTATCACTGTAGTTTTATCTGGAATGTCATATAAATGGATTCCTACAGTGTAGGATTGACTACACTGATTGTAGTTCTGATTGACTTTTTTCACTTAGCATTATGTGTTAGAGATTTGTCCATGTTGTCATGGGTATTACTATCTTGTTCCTTTTTATTGCTGCGTAGTGTTCTGTTGTATGGCTGTACCACCTGTTGATGGACATTTAGATTTCCACCTCTTACAGATAAAGTGGCTGTGCTTTCATTTCTCAGTAAATACCTAAGAATGGAATAGCTGGGTTGTATAATAGATGTGTTTAATCTTTTTTTAAGAAACCGCTAAACTGCTTTCCAAATTGCTGTGCTGCCATTTTTTATTCCAGCTTGAAGGATATGAGAGCTTCAGTTGCTCCACAGCCTTGCTAATACTTGATATGATCAGGCCTTTTATTTTAGCTGTGCTGGTATAGGTGTGCAATCATTTTAATTGGCATTTCCCTTACAACTAATGATGAACATTATTTCGTGTGCTTTTTTGACATGTACTTATCTTCTTTGGCAAGGTGTCTGTTCACATCTTTTGCCCATTTTTAAGTTGGCTTTATCATTAAGAACTGTGAAGGGTCTGAGATTGTATTCTATTTGCAAGCTAATAAATTGGCCTGCCACTGTTTTTTGGATGCTGGCAGAAGACGGGTGACTCCTGAGTCAGAGAAAAAAGGACTTCATTTCTCTTGCAACATAAGGAGCAGCATGAACTCCATGTTCATATAAATTTTTCTTGTCCCCCTCAGCCCCCACGCAAGTCCCATGGGGGTGATACGGTGGCCTAGGCGTGAGCTGTACTCACAGTGGTATGCATCACATTTGAGGAACACTGAGCTGTCGGAAACCCAAATCTTTTATAATGAGCTATAGATGAACCTGTTCCCCACCTGGGGGAAGACAAGCTCTCTCCTCGAAGGCTATTTGCTATACAGACAGTGTTGAAAAGAGCCAGAGCAAAAGGCTATCAGTGTCTGTCTACAGAACATGCAGAAACATGGAGAGCTATCTTCCAACAATATCCTTGTTTCTGTATTAATTTAGCTTCTGGTAAACTTTTCCATGAGTACACTACTCTGTGACTCCTCTGATTAATCTGACCAATAGGGACTGGGTCCTAATCCATTCAGTTTTTTTCACACCGGATTTAATGAAGGCAACTACCAACAGAACTTGAAGCAGCAGGAATTGGCCACCCTGCACCGCTGGGCTTAACCATCCACCCGTTCTCTAAGGCCTTAGACTCGGCCACTGAGCAAATCCCTAGAAAGCCAGGTAGCTTTTTTCTTTAGTGTCTGTGTTGACCTTTCCACTTAGCCCTAAGCATTGATCCAAGTATACCAAGATCTTTTTAGCACTTGGCACAGTCTCCTTATTGGCCCACAGGGAGGAGGTCGAGGGCAGGTCTACCCATAATAACCCTGGCCAGTGATTTGAGGCTGACATGAATGCCTTCCAGGGCCCAAGTGGTGTCCTTGATTACATAGGCTTAAATCAGGCACAAATTTTGGGCAACCTTTTTATTTAGATGATTCGCATTGTGCGGAAAACTATGCATGGAGCACACATAAATGACAAGTCAATTATTCCTCCAGGAAGCTCCCCCAAGACAACCAAAAGTTGCCTCGTTTGGGGGAGATCTCTGTAGTCACCTGAGAACCAAACTCCTCTACTAGTGGTGTTTGCTTAAACACGGGATGATCTCTTCTACCCGCTTCTGAAGTGCAAGTCAGCGTACTTAAGAGAGGGGAAAAAAGTTAGTAACTGGCTCGAACGTGAGAAGTATGGTCCCAAGGGATTA